TCTTTTGATAGCTGCTTAGATATTTATCAGTCACTCTTTCATCATTCTTTCATCCAGGATTGTATATCTGCTTGGGAGTGCAGGAAAGGCTCCTCTTGTAAATGTGGTACATAGTGGATCTGGTTTATTGTCCTGTATTGGAAACTGGGCTTGTCTACCAGTAATAGAATATTCTTTTTTCCCTATCTCTGCTCCAGCCCAGATCACCTTGATGTGCGTTTAGGATTTGACCTCTGCGTGCAGGAGCAAGATTTTCTATGCAAAAGGAAGAAGTATGTCACTCCTGCTCTGAAAAAGGTCCTGCAGCTGGAACAGGATCTGCTGGACCATGAGGTCCGTAGAGCAAACTTTCCAAACATCTAAGGAGTGCTTAGCAGGGGGACGTAACAGCATAATGTGACCTTTTTTAATTCACAGGTTTTCTTTTCTAGTTTTTCCTCATCTTTAAACTTATGTAGTTCCAATATTGTTCCATACCTCTAATCTCACCCTGCTGTTTGTGTCATTTGCAGTTGCTATTCTGAGTTTAACTTTTCTCCTGCTACACCTACATTGCAAGCGAGGCTAGATATCCCTTCTATAGAAATAGCTTCTTCCACAGTCTTTACCCTACCATTGTTATCCTCGTTGATAATCCTTCCTCCTCTCTTTGACCTGTGAAATTTCTTTTTAATTCCTGCCTTTACACCTGATGGTTTTTGTCTTACTGTCTCTCTTGGTTTGTATTAATGCCTTTTCATTTGCTTTTTTAACCGAAATTCTGTGTTGAATGCATTGGAGACAAGTGTCAGTTACCTAAGCAAAAATCCTCATTACTTTTGTTCCTGTTCTTGTTTACAAAATAAATGGTAGCCTACGTTTCACTAGAGAGAATTTGGAAAAAAAACATCTAAGTCTGGGCACATGTGATGGTGTCAGGCTTTGTGAAATAGGAGGCCTCTACTGAGAACCACAGTCAGCAGACACCAGCCCTTTCTGTTTGTGTGTTGCACAGACCCCAGTGGTGGCCATCATGACTACGGGAGGAGGGATGAGATCTTTGACCGCGCTGTACGGCAGTCTGCGGGGGCTCAAGAAACTCAATATCTTGGACTGTGCCACATACCTGACTGGCTTGTCTGGTACTACATGGTAAGTAGGACCGGGCAGCTCTTGGCTGGAGTCTTCCTGATGACACCAATGCACTGAAGTAGGCTGGGGCTAGCATGCAGTAGTCCACCTATGTCACCTTCTCAGCAGTCCTACTTTTTAAATCTTATTCTAAAATTGGCAGATTAAAGTGTTTTCATGGGGGAAAGTCACATAATTTGCAGCAGCATGAAAACAAGTGTTTTTCTAAGAACAGGTTGTGGAAAATTGGCCAAGCCATTTTGACAGGGATAATGACTGTAACTTCAAAGGGAATGTGATAGTTTCTTAGGGAACTGAAGACAGAAAACCTTTACTTAATTTCAAATCAAGAACTTAAAAGAGAAACATAAAATGTAGCCATTGCCTACTTCAAACCTTGGCGTGGGGTTTTCCCAATTCAATACATATTTCCTCTCCCTAGGACCATGTCAAACTTGTACAGAGATGCCGAATGGTCACAAAAGGATCTCGACAAACAAATCAGCGAGGCTCGAAAACATATGACAAAATGCAAAGCAAATTCCTTTTCCTTGGAGTATATGAAGTATTACAAAAAGCAGCTGTGTCAACGGAGAAGAGAGGGCCGCAAAACATCTTTTATAGATCTCTGGGGGCTTGTCCTGGAATCTTTGTTGCATGATGGGGTACAGTATATCATAAAGCAGCGCTTACAGTGGCTTACAATTTTCTGAAATTTAATTTCTGCAGAAGATATCTTCCTGTTTGTTCAGAGAGAAGTATTTTGTTATCAGACTGTGTGCATGCGAATGCACAGCCATTGCCAAAACATTTGGTGGCAGTCTTTTAGATATCAGTCATGGTGGAAATCAGCATTCTTGCTTGTGAGAAAACTCCATGATTAACATTTTGAAAAAATAATCTCTTTAAAGATTTGGGGGGTTTTGCATCTTCTGCAAGTATTTTCTTTAGAAATAGCAAAATTGCAGACATTATATTAATGTCCATGAGTGCGATTAACAAATGGACAAATGGAGGTCTTACATGAACTTGCAACATAATGTGTTGGCCTGGTTTATATAAAAAAATATCAAAATATTTATTTATATCACTTTATATCAAAAGTATTGCTTTCTGTTTTTCATACTTTCCTTCCATTTTCATCCTAATGGGTCATCAAATAATCTGGCATCAGATTAGATGCCTGCAGATATTTCAGTAACAGAACGCTTACAGGAATTTTGAAAAATATGAAACATTTCAGAGTTTAAATCCAGTATGCATTATACATTAGAGGCAGGAATTTTTCTGCCTTACAAGCTTAGATGCAGAGAAAACATTCCTGTGCTAATTTTCATCTTAGTGTAACTGTATTTCTGGAATCACAGAAAGACAACCATAGACTCTCTGATCAGCAACGGGCCATTGATCGTGGTCAGAACCCATTGCCCATCTATACTGCAGTGAATGTCAAGAACAACTATAGCACTCTGGATTTCAAAGGTAATTATGAGACTTCAGAGAGCCATTTGTCTTAATATTTTAGCTGGTAAATCCTGGGACAGTCTTTTTAGATAGTCTAAAAAAGCCTCCTCAGATGATATGTATCCATGTAATGCCCTTGTGGTGAGGTAGAAGTTTGACTTTCTGTGCATGCATTTGTACCATGCTTACAACTTGTTGCTTTTGGTCTAAAATAGACTTAACTACAGAAATTATTTCATTCCCATGATAACAATATCACTTTATTAACAGCTAAGGGGCTGTAAAAATGTACACTATATATTGAAATGTCGTTCTCTTCTTTGTGTTCCTTTTCACAGAATGGGTGGAATTTACCCCTTATGAGGTGGGATTTCAAAAATATGGAGCTTTTGTTCGTACTGAGGATTTTGGCAGTGAGTTCTTCATGGGTCGGTTGATGAAGAAGGTCCCTGAATCCCGGATCTGCTTCTTAGAAGGTAAGCTACTGTCTTAAAAAATCTGATTTTTTTTAATTGTTAGCTATACAAACTAAGTACTAATAAAGCACTATTGCATGACTGGCAGGGCAGTTTTACCAGAGAGGATAAATATCTCATCATTGAATTAATACTTACTATAATGGATTCAGTTCACTGCAAAAAAGAAAATTAAGGTGACAGAGAAATAGTTGTTTTCATTTTTACAGCTAGTTTTGGATAAAAATATAGTATCGTTTCCAGTCCAACAATAAAATTCAGGTCCCTGAGAATCCAGCTGTTTCACTTAGTGAAGGAGATCCTGCACTATTTTAGCCTAAGCCTATGCTGGACATGCATACGTTTGCACTTCCTGAACAAAAAACAGTGAAAACTTGTGCCTAAGGGAAAACCAGAGGAATTGTCTCTCAGGCTCAAAAATGCAAGGTCAAAACTAATCTCCCAGGGTGTTAACAGGCTTGTTCTCAAAAATGGAAGCCTACAAATGCAAAGGCTGTAAGATCACATTGTAGTTAGACCCTTATCAATATAATTCTCCATCAAATCTCTCAGACTGCAAACTTTCACTCTTTCTTTTTATACCAGCTTTGTTACACTTGTACACCTAAGTACTAGAAGACAAAAACTTGATACCAAAATAGGGGCTAAAAACGAGCAGGCAAATAAAAATGACACATCATCCATTTAAAACAAACTGAAGAACAGCATAAACCTTGCAAATGTCATCTGATGATAACAGTTCTGTAATTCATGATGTGTGAGTGTTTGAATTAGAAAGCTCTTTCCTTTTGCAGGCATGTGGGGTAGTTTATTTTCATTGAATGTGTTATATATCTGGAATTCATCCCATTCATCAGAAGATTTCTGGCACAAGTGGACCCGGGATAAAATCAACAATATAGGTAGAGTGTCGTACTTCTTTCTCACTGTGTATTTATTGTTAGATAGATTTAATGGTAGATAAACCATCATACTCATCTGCTATGTGAGATGTGCAACATGTATTTGACATTTTTGGCATGTTTCTTCAAAGGCTGCATTGTTTTCTGAAGGAATTGTGTTCAAAGTCTCAAAACATAATTGGATAACTTAAACAACTCCAGTCCTGTGATCTATGTGCTCACTGAGGGCTCAACACTTATGTTGGCAGATGTGTAAAAAAATGTTCAGGAATAATAAGATTGATCTGCAAATTATTAATAAAGCAAAAATATTTTGACTATAGTAAGTAGGAGCTACTGTAATACAAATGAGTACAACAATTACACTTTCCCAAAGCCTGCATTTAATCTGTTCCACAAGCGTGCTTATGTCTGGTGCACATTATTATTACTGCCTGGTACTGGGTCTTGCTTTTTATCCAAGTCTAGACTGTGTGAGGAAATGGTAGTTGGCTGGTAAGAGTAGCATTTTATTTCCTTTTTAATTTGGTCACGTGTGTTCATTGAATCTTTTCATCTTAGGCCTTATAAATAAAGAAAACACTGTTTTTTATTACTTATCTTGACATGCTGGGGGATGACCTTGCTCTAGGCAGGTAGAATTTAACAGCCTTTCCCTGTGCAGAGGAGGAACCCCTCCTGCCAGTGAAGCTGCACGAGCTGAGAACTCGTCTGTTCACCCCTCCCGGCCCCCTTGGCAGCGCTCTTCGCAGCATCCTCACTGACCGCCTCTGCATTGCCCAGGATCACAACTTCCTAAAGGGTTTCCAGTTGCATAATGACTACCTGGAGAACAAGCACTTCTGCAGATGGAAAGGTAACAGAAGACCTGTGTGTCTGGGAAGAGGATAAACACACAGAAAAAAAACCCCAAAAACCAGATTTTATATTAAACCCATTCTCCAAGGTTAGAGGCCATGTTTGGGCAGAATCACTATTAAATCAGTCAGTTGTGGCACACTGGGATGTAGGATGGAGTGATGTTAAGCCTTGTGCCAATAGTTCACTGGTGGTAGGGGCACCAGGTCCTGATGGTGTTCCACCCTTTCTCTGTTTGAAGACACACTCAGTGGGGAGGTACAAGAAGCCTCCTTCATGAATGTTGCCACTGCAGGTCCAAAACTGCGTGTGGCTGGTGTTGGGAGGGCAGAAGAGAAGGATTATGATGAATGTTGCTTCCCCAAAGACAGCAACCAGTTAGGGCTTAGTTATGCCAGTTTCCAGTTAGACTGGAAAGCAGGCTAACCAGTTTTATGCTATTGCCCTTACAACAAGAAATATCTTTCCTTTTAGATACTGTGTTAGACACATTTCCCAACCAGCTGACACAATCAGAGGAACTCCTGCCTCTAGTAGATACAGGATTTTTCATCAATACAAGCATCATGCCACTTTTAAAACCAGAGAGAAAGGTGGACGTCATCCTGCATTTAAATTACAGTGCGGGATCCCAGATACTGGTGAGTATTTCTTCTTCAATAGCTGCAAACTCAGAAGTTTCTAACACTTAGGCACTATCTATATTGTTCCTACTAAGTGTCTTAACCACTAGTATTTTTAGCTTAATGCTGCACTGTGATATTTCTTCTATAGGCTATACATATTCCCATTTGTTTTTCTTGTACAATACAACTGTTTTGTGCTAAGAACACAAAAACCTTCTCTCCACTGATGGAGTGCTTTCCAATAGGGGTTTCAGAGCTTTCACAGAGCTAGATAGGAAAATGCCTACTTTGTTACTAGACTTCAAGAAATCCTGAGCCCTGAAATCCTTTTTAAGTCTTACTATTGTTCTGTTCATTGATTCAGCCTCTGGACCAGACCTGCAAGTACTGCTCAGAGCAGGGAATCCCTTTTCCCAGGGTAGACCTGAGTGAAGAAGACAGGAAAAAACTGAAAGAGGGTTACCTCTTTGATGGTGCTGAGACTCCAGGAGCGCCAGTACTGCTGTTTTTCCCACTAATTAATGATACCTTCCAAAAATACAAAGCACCAGGTAAGTAATCAAACATATAAAAAAAAAAAAGGTTGACATCACAGCCAGCCTATTGAAGGGAATATATTTAATACTCCAACACTTACACTTCACTGCTGGCTCATTTTAAAACACCAGACCTCTCTGTCACTTAGTTACTTGTTTTACCAAATCAGATTTGCTGCCATGACAGTCCTGTTTTAATCCTCACGCTAGTTAGTTTGTGGGTGACTTTGATGTACATATGTGAGTCATGGGCACAGCCTAGAACTGCAGTGTAGACCCATGTAAAAGGAATAATCACCATTTTTCTTCCTTCATCATGTGAAGCAGTTGATATCCACCTGAGCCAGGGACTGAGCTGTCAGTTTTAAAAATACTTCTTTGTTTAAAACATAATTTTAAAAACCCACAGGAGTCATTTAGATTATGAACTCTCTCTGTGGACAGATGCCTCCTTTCCCTGCTCTGTTAAAAGTCTGCTTGCTTATGACCAGTAACTCCCATCTCTACCTTTCCTTCTAGGTCAGAAGCGCTCAGAGTCAGAGATGGAAGATGGTGAAGTTGATCTCTATGGCTCCTGTTCACCTTATTCAACATATTCACTCCAATACACTGAGAAGGCATATGACCGTCTGGTTCAACTGGGTGAATACAACATCCTGAACAATGAGGACCTCATTATGCAAGCCTTGCACACAGCAGTGGCACAGAAAAGGCAGAAAAAGAAATAACGTCAAACAAGGGAGGATACTCTTGTGTCCCTTAACCCACCAGGAGGCTGAAGCTCCCTTAAGATCAGCTAGCCGGCTTCAAAGGATTCCTGCTCAGCTCCACTTAATGGCAATCTCAGATGAACAAAGAAGACACTGAAGAGAAACTTTTTTATCCAAAGAATTTCACTGCAGCAATTCATTGCAATTCAGCTGCAACAGTGGTACAGAGGATGGGCAGCCATGAGGAAGAAAGTGCCGAGATGACCATGAGCATGGTGCTAGTTCCCTTGAGAAAGAGTTTGAAATATTTAAGTCTAACATGTTTAGGGCAGACAAAATTAAAAGCATATTTTATTAACATGATTTGTGCTTTGTGTTTGTCAGGTGGTGGTGAGGCAAGCAACAGCCTGTGGGCCCGGTTTGTGAAGGGACTGTGGCACATTGTAGACGTATGTTTAGAGAAAGAAAGGTACATGTCATATGGCATCCTGAGGGCACAGATCACCTCCAACAGTGGCTTTGGGCAGAGACAGAGGAAGCATAGGCCATGGGTATCAGATAAACCGAGAAAGCAAAAGAGTGGTTCTCCACTGCTTGGCTATCAAGCTCTTCTGTGAGCCCCCTCACTGTTTCTTGGCTACCCGCTCCTCTTCTCACTCCTGGTGTGATTGGTAGTAACATAGCGACTAGAAACACAAGCTGAACAGGACAACACTGCTGGCTTTAATCCCCCTCGAAACAAGAGCAAGGATGTGCAGGTCCTTGAATTCATCAGCTCCACCTGCCCACACTGCTGGCTGGGTCTTGCATGAGCTGAGCACCTGCAGAATTAGGAGGCACCCACAAGGTGGGGAAACGACTTCACGTGGTCTTGGTGCAAGAAGGAAGATCTTGTGTCTTGCAATAGTGCACCTAAGGAGGATATACTGCTCCACGAATGTTACCTTTTCCTCTTGAGATAGAAAATATTTATTTTCCCTATACTGTTGCTGTGAACCTTGTGCCACCCGTGAAGAAGACAAGAACAGCGCAGACCTATAGAGAACTCTGGAAGCTCTGGGAAGGTTTGCTACAGCAAGTATATTCTGCAAGACAAGATACTGCAGGAGGATCTGTGCCTCCTGAGCTGTAATTTCTCTTGGATTGTCTCTGCAGCAAACCCAGCACTGACCTGCACATACATGGCATAATTTGACCATTTGGGCCAAATGTGCAGTGATGAGAGGTTGCCTAATGTAGGCTTCTGTCCCTGTTCCCAGGAGGGAAGAAATGGTGGAGCACTTTGCTTGCACCCATAGCAAAGATCCTCCAGCTCTTCTTGTGTTCCTCGCTGCCTGATTTGTTTCCTAGCATTAAGATGCTTTACTTGTTCATTTGAAAAAAAAACAACAAAACAACCAACCAAAGAGTAGAGAAATATCTTCATGAGATTAAAAACTGGATCACACAGTCATAGCAATATGAGTACACAGGAGTGTTTATTTCCAAACGCACAAATAAGCTTCTTTTGATTAAGTTCACCCTATGCAACCCATGTTCTATGTTGAATTAATAACACAAAACACACTACTACTTTACAGACCAAACGAGTTACTTTATGTTTCTCCTGCAGCATCCAGTTCTCAGTTACTAACAGATGGTACAAATTCCCTAATTCTTCATAAGTATTTGTGTTATTAACTAAAGTAATATTGAAAACATGAATAAAAATAGGACCAACGGGTGATATTTACAGCATGTGATAGATCTCCCAAAATAAGTAAAGCCCACTCCATATCTGCATGCATTTCTTTTTTCTTATTCTGTGGTAATTTGAGAATATTGGGTTGGAAGATGAAAACACAAATTTTTAATACAAGATTTTGATTCTCCCGGACCACCTACTATGAATTATCAGTGACTTTTCAAGCATACTATTTCTTAATAGTAGTGAAAAAAGTCAATTATGTGTTTAATTGCTTTCTGCTCAAGTTTTCTACTTTTGCCCCTTGTCTGGTTATTTTCTAATGTGCTTAATAATGTAAAGGTGAGCTGAGTTTCTCGGTATATGTACCAGTACAGCATCTACAATTTGAAGCCTACTAAAACCACTTGTGGTTACATTTCAATGCTAAAATTCTTTGGCTTCCACAAAAACTTTGTACTGGGTTTATAGGGCAAGATTTTGGTAGCAGGGTGCGGTGCTGCTGGGGGGGCCTCTGTGGTTTCCAGCCACTTTTCAATGTTCAGGTGCAGGATTTCATCTCTATTTTCCAGATGAGTAGATAAAGGTATCTGCAGTGTGCTTGGCTGAGTCATGTCACTCTCAAGCTTTAAATAGCATCATCAGAGCCTGGTAGAGGGAGCAGGACACGTTGTTTCTGTAATGACACACCAATCAAGGACAAAAGTGCTCTGTGCAGCTCCCTGTTTTAAAATATAGGCAAAAAGGAGTGTCAGTGCCTGGGAAGGGTGTCAGTGAAATGCTTGTCTTGTTACTGTAAGGGAGCTCTCGGAATATAGTCACACTTTTATTTCTGTAGTGCTGAAAAGTTGTAGCTTTAATAGTACAATTTGTCCAGGGTAGACTCTCAAAAGGGTTTTTTTTTGTGAGTTATGCACAGGTTCTGCCTCTTAGCTCTTCTTCATTTTGCGTTTATGCTTCCAGGATGAAATTCTGAAAGTTAGTCTTCTTGCAGTCAGCCTGGACTGATTTCCTCATGACAAGTTCACTTTCTTGGCACAGTCAGCGTGAACCTCTCAAGAGATGGTTCTTATGGCTACCAAGAGTTCAGAAGCAATTTCCTCTCAGAATACCACCAGTGTCTCCAGCTTCAGCCATTCACATATCAGTGGGGAGGTGGGGTATTTACCACATGGTTTCGTCCTTGACCTTTCTTCTAAGATACCCCCTCAAATTGATAGGCTCTTTTAAATTACTGTGGTCATTTATAAAATGTCTCATTTTAGACATTTTCTGGGGGATGGTTTTGCTCAGCCTATCTCAAGATTCAACAAACCTGGAGGAGGCTTTTTACACCTTCCACATGTGAAATCCAAACAGAAGGTTCAGCAAGGAGCAGCAGTAGGCCTGGGAGACCTCCTCACTCAGGAGAGGAGAGCAAGGGCTGCGAAATGCTAGAGGTTAAAGCTAAGCCTGGAGGGATAGTTAGGGTGTTTGGCTCCTTTGCCTTTGTAATCCTTGTTTGCAAGTACATAATGATAAGTCTTCAGCCAAACATTGAGGGACAGTTTTCTGGGGCATGGTTTTCCCATTCTTGCTTGCTAAATGGGCCTACCAGCTTGCACTTCTTTAATTAGTCTATTTTATAACACTGTACAGTTAGCTCTGATTAGCTCCTATTAGGTTGCAGAAGAACAAAGTAAAGCAGTGAATACTGTTTTGTATTTGTACTATTCACCTTATTTCTTCCTACAGATTTATAAAAGCCAGAAGTAACACCAGATCATATTATTTGACTTATTAGATGTCAGACCTGTACATGCCATGCAGTTACTTAAACAGACTAAAGTGTACCTTGAAGAAAAATGATCCCTCGTCTTTAAAGATACCAGGAATGGTGAACTTACATTTCATAGAACAATGTGGGTGATCATCTTCTAGCAATAAGTATGCACATTATTTCCAGTCTCATTTAGCTTGGCCAAAGCCCAAACACTAGTTCTTGTTAAATCTTTTACTATTAACTTAAACACCATTGCATCACCATTGTTTCTTCATTAAAGTAAATTTTATAAAATATACCAAGGTTACATCACAGTCTTCTTTTAATCAAACCAGTAGATTCGGCCTTTCAAGTTCTCATTTTAAAACAAAAAATCTTTATTTGCTAGAGCTGTACTGTTCTTGCACTCCCTCCAGCTCTTTGTCATCCCTTTATAAAATGCAGGTTTCAGTATGTTTCCCAATATTGAGTATACAGAGATAAACATTGCCTTGTTATTCTCATATTCTTATATATAAACGACTTCCCAGTTTCAACAGACAGAATCCAGTTGTCCACATTCACCATTAAAGACTTCTGCTGAGTTGCTTGTCTTCTGGTGAGTTGCTGTTTTCAATATTACAGTCCTCCCTTTCATAAGGGGGTGTAAATTGCTACATACATTTGCCATTCTTTTAATCATAGCATCACACTTCATTGTGTTAGAATTAACTGTGGTTAATCAGGCCAGTTTATCAAGCAGGTTTGATTGTTCTGCACGATTGCTCTGTCCTCAGCATTACTCAGCACTCTGAGTCTTTGTTCTAAGAGCAATTTGCCCAGTCAGGATGTCGTGCTTATTTCCAAATTACTCATGAAAATGCTGAATAGTGTTCAAGACCAGTAAACTCTTAAAAAATCCTCAAGAGAAAACTTTTATCAGTGATGTTTCTCACTGAGGATTAATTCTGAAATCAGTTAGCAAACAAATTCTTAACCTTACTAATAAATACTTTTTTTTCAATGTTTGCATAACAAAATCTTACTATTTTTGCACAGTGTATAAGTAAAAAACCTGCAATTGCAGGATAGAAAAAAAGCTCGGTCTCTTCTTTTGAATAAATGCACTATTTTTTACTGACTGGCTTCCACAAGGTAGCTCAGTGCTTACCAAAACTGCTCATCACCTTACAGGGAACCTCTAATGCCAACTCTGAAAGGTTTCTTTTCCATGCAGTTATATTGCATCACCATTTTACTGTGCCGTGCACCTTACTGGTGCAACACCCTGTAATTGCTTTGGCATCCTTTGGCTTTATTGCACTCTGGTCACAGAAAAACAGCTTCACTACTGTGGTTTGCAAGATCAGTGCAAGGGAACAGCACACTTCAGTTTTGGCAGTATATTGCGATCACCTCCAGTACGTACCTAAGATACGGAAATTAAAGAATTCATGTGCATAAGCCAAATACAAGGGAGACTTTCACAAAGCTTAATAGAAATAGATTTTAAAGAAAAAAAGGAAAATGAAATGCACAATTTTATCTACCTTTATTAAGATCGGCTCCCAACAGCTTTCTTATCCTTTTTATTATTCCCAACTATATAGTTCTTAAACTCTTAACCATATGGCTAGACATTCAGTTCTTGTGCAAGCCAGGTAGGTCCCTTATTTCTGCTTCCATGGAAAGGATTCAGACATCATTTTTACTCTCCTTAGGTGTTTTTATACATATTTATACACGTGCGCGCACACACATACACGTATGGAATTTGTCTGGGTGGAACCACCTGCTGTCCAGACAGTAAATTGTATTAGTTAATGACTGTCCTAAGGCTAACTTATTATACGTCATCCATCATTTTGGGGGACAACAATCCCTTGGGTGGTGGAGTGCAGCTTTCAGTGTATAATTGCTTTGTATGCTGAAATGGGTATTTCATATAAACATGTACATTAGCATATGCTGTACGAAACATATGAAACATAAATGAGAAGAATGTCTGTGACTTTTAACTAACTCTTGACTGAAGATAGGCGTTGCTACTAACCACAGGGATGATGGAGCATTTGGTGTTTATGACTGCCAGCCCAAACTTTGAGGAATAGCAAGAGAACCACAAGTGGTAATATATGATAATCGATTTCCAGTTAATCAGATATTGTGCCCACTATTGCAATGGCAACTAGGGTAACCAATCTACTGACACCTTATCACATCCCTCTTGCTACTTTTGAAAATGGGCACAACATTAACTTTCCTTTCAATCTTCTGCAGTATTTCGAGAAATAAAATAGCTGAACCACAGACAGCCAAGAATCTTCCTAGACTACACTTTTGGAACTAATTAGTAAGTATTATTTCTATTCTGTCTTAATATATATTGTATGGCTATGTGTTGCAAAGCATTTCATAATATTCATCAATGAAACATGTGAAGTTTTTTCTTTCCCAACATAGAACAAGTGTTTTATTTGCATTCCTG